TAAAGGCGCGTTCGGGTTTTAACGTGTGCAGATGTCCAAAGCAGAGGATGGTCTCCAACTCGCGTCACAACCTTTTTGAGCGAATTGCGATTCTGAAATTCGGAACTCAAAACTGCAACATAGTTCCAGTTTGGGGTCTGAACAGACTCGAGCGATTCTAGAACCGCCTCAGACCCGAAACTGGACTATGTTGCAGTTTTGAGTCGAATTGAGCTCACAAGGTCCTTTCGAATTTTTGGATCGTCGATTCGCTCACGTTGTGACGTCAGTTGGAGTTTGAACGCTTGGACTGCCTAGTGCACCTCATACGTTGATGTTTGGGCAGTGTTTGAGTCATCCTTCAAATGGCCATCCAGATTGAACGCAGAAGCACCGTTTTTGGCATCAATTTTTTTCGGCCACATTCATCACACAAACACAAGTCGAAACAAATTCCGCAGGCGAGCGTCGATTGGGGAGGATGTCCGTTTTGATTCCCGAAAGTTTTTCACTGATCGAAATTGTAGCAACTGTATCAGATAGTCAGTAGTCAATGACGAGTTGGCATGTGTTGCTTTTGTAAGCTTGCCAGGCAACTTTATGATTGTTCGATACATTGTAATTATATTAGCAATAGACAAACCAAATTCTTTCCTTTGAAGATAGGTTTGCTTGACCAAGTGTGAGTTTTTGCTTTCGGTGTCCATCGGGTTGCCTTTTTGACCAGCTGTCTGCGAGCGGCATCCGAAGTCGTCGTCATGTGTTTGAACTTGAAAAGTTGGAGCGAATGTAGAGTTACCAATGTCGCATGGTTCGCGGTTCGTGCGCAACATCTTGTTCGGTTTACAGTCCAGCAAGTTCATATTGCAACATATTTATTCGCTCTGGGGTTGTGCCACATGCATGCCCACCGTGGAGGCGTGACGTGCTGTGCTCGTCTTCGGTGTGTAATAAGATGATTGCAACAGCAACGGTCGTGCATTATGAAATGGTCCTGGAAACAATTTGCCCTGTTGAGCCGGCGCACACAGTTCATTCCATCTCGATGAGTTGTGTGGCTGACGACAGGACGACATTGTGTCTGAAGACATTCCCGATTTGGCTGGTGCCCAGGTATGTGCGTGCATGAACTTTTTGGACATGTCTAAGTCATGTGGGTATGCAGATCCACGTTTTCCCGCAGGTGATGTCGAAAGACATGACCTTGCAGCCTGATGATCAGCGACTTGAGGTGCATCTTCTGCCCTGCCCAAGACTTCGTCCTTACTCCTGTGACGAGGGCATGCTCATTCATTGGGTTGTGCGGCGAGATGTGCATTAAACGAATCTATCTTTATCTTCTTGGCATGTTCTATGCGAGTGTATTGCGCAGAGTCCTGTCATGGACATGGTTTGTCCACACGCTGTGCCATAAGTTGTGAGAAGTGTTTTGCAAGTGTAAAACTTGTGCTGCAACTCAAGCTGGAAGGCCATGTCCAAGAAGGCCGTGCTCCTATCTTTGTCTCGATGATGGCTTGCTTGAGCAGCTGGCATTCTTCATTCTTGGTGTGGGGTGTTGTGCTTGTAAGCATCTTTGTGGGACACCGGTGTCGCCCCCTCTACAAGCTATCATTGACTTGAGGCCCGAGAACTGCTGAGTGGGTATGCCGCGCTTGAGACCACGCTTCGGGAGCACAAGGAGAACTTCGGGCCTGTGCTTAAGAGAGGCAGGCAGGTTTGGGGATGTAACCTTGGCAGTTTCAAAATCTCAATGTGACTGTTGTTTGGGTGAGCCAGGCTGGGAGGCGGCAAGAGCACAGGCGATTGAATTCTGGATGCCGTACTAGGTACCCATCTACTTGCCCCCGGCTCTTTTTTTGTCTCGAACTTGTGTGGAGCTGCAGATGCCGCAGGACCTTCTGCAATCGCTGGTCAGTGCGAGCGAGGCAAGCAGCAAGACGCGTGGCCAGGTTGCAACGGAGCGGCGGCAACACACGATCGGGCTTCACAGTTGAACTTCATGCCCCTCCGTTCTTTGGGGAACTCCGTTTTTGTGCAGCTAATCGAATTGCAACTTTCTCTAAGTATGAAAGACTTGGAAAACAGAGGAAAATCCCCGAACCCTAAATCAGATCCCACAGCTGCTCTGCACGTGGTCGTCCTGAGGAAAGCAACCGGCAGTAATATCAAACTTTCAATGCTTCTTTATGACAGAGTTTTTGTGCAGAAGTCCTTGAGCTGAGGCGTTAGCCGAGAAGAGCCTGCGGCCTTCAACCTGCCAGGCATCTGTGGCCTTCGTTACATTGACCTCGGGGGACCTTTCTTGACTCACATATTACCCTGATTCTCATACTCATGGTTCATCTTGGTACAGATCACGACTGCTTCAACAACGGAACCCGAAACTGGTCAGGTGCTGTGGAAGATGGGGTGAGGCTGGAGGGGTGGAAGGATGCTCAAACTGGAGGTAGTCACGCTTTCACAAGCCGCCAGGCCCACTTCGAAGGAAGGCACGTGGCCTGGGCATGCCGGTTCCCTGAGCACTCGACAGCCAGAGCCACTGGGTGCTGAGGTCATGAGAAGCATACGATAGCTTGGGGCCAGACTGTCCGACACTTGGTGGTTCCGAGTGAGAGTTCTAGCATTCGTTGATGTTCGTTGTGTCAGCTTGTCTCGCCATGCTTCCAGGGACTCGTGAGGTCGTGCGTGCAACGGGCATGCATGAAAGACGAGTCCGATCTTGGGGAATGTTGCACCTCTTTTCTGATTAGATTTTGGAAATCCATTTCTGCTGCAGTTCGCCAACACTAGCATGAAAACATGTCGTGAAGATGTGTTTGTGTAGACTTATCTTTTCCACCTAAATGGTCATCGTTGTTTTAAGGTTTTTCGCTGCACTACTAACAGCATGGAGAGGGGGTTCGTCGTTCGCATCCCATCGAAGGCCTCTGACCAGAGCAGCTCCAAGCAGTCGAAGAAGAAGAAGCATTCAGCAGAGGCCTAGAAAGACATGCCGTTGGTGTGGCAAAGCCATTCTTACTCTGTGCTTGCAGGGACCATCAGAACTGAGTGCCGTGGGAGCCTTGGCATCCGGAGAGCATTGCGCATGTTGCAGACATGATGCCACATTGTGGAGGTCGTGCCCACTACACCTCAGGCGGACACTGGCAAAGCTACCCTGCTGGTTTGGCTTTCAGCTGTACATGTTCCCAAGCGAAAAATTTCGCTGCTGCGGTCTTGGATCAGTGATAAAGATGGCCGAAGGATTTCAGACTGTGCTGTTCGCAACTAGCACTGGGAACGATTCGGCATATTGTGATGTCCTTATGAGCCTGTGCATTTCATGAAGGACTTGCTCTTGCATTCAAAGGCTTGTTGTTGCACATCCGGGTCACTCTGGCTTGCCAAAGCTGACGAAAGCCACGCCTTGTGGGCCAGGATGATTCCGACCTGCAGACGGCAGGCCTGCACCGGTGTCCAGTTCCTCGTGTCGTTTCAGTATCAGTGCCGAGTTCTCGAGGTGCCAAATTGGTGCACAGGGCAACCTACATCGCAGAGACCTTCAAGGCCGACATGAACCAGGCGCGCGGATGTCTCTCCGAGGCTTCTGGTGCAGGAGCGACTCAGCGGCAGGTTCAGGCTGACGACGAGGAGAGCGCCGAAAGCGAGGCCAGAAAAAGGACGGTGAGTTGCTGCCGGGCCTCGTCACGTTTCATGGCGGGTCTCACCCAGAAGGTTCCAAGACACGCAAGGTAGGAGCGTTCTGAACCGACCCAGCCGAGACAGCCTCTCCGACGACTATCCCACATCCGGAGAAACGCTTCTTCTGGCAGGGCGCTGGCTACCGCTGGAAAGTGCGGCGAATTCTGGTGGCTTGGCCTGGGTTATGCAAAGGTCTCTGTGTGAAGTATGTTCGGGTGTCACTTCACCACCTATCCGATCATGAGACGCCATGCTGCCATCAGTGCTATGAGTACTTGTTGTGATTTTGTGATTGCTACCATAACCCTGAGCCCTGAACTAAACCAGGCACATCCAGCATTTGATATTACCATTGGCGGCTTTATCGTCCTGAATGCCGTCATGCTCGGCTCTGCGCTCGGAGCTCTTGACGTGGCGCTTGGGGAATGGTTTAAGGGGAGGGCAACTTTGAGTCGAAGCCAAGGGTAGCCATAGCAAGAAGCACTATTCAGGAAACTCTTCGCTATAATCGGTGCAGAAGCTGAAACAACAGTTTTGACACATGCGAGTTCTGATCAGATTTTTGCAAGTAAACGTGGTTGCCGTAATGACATGATAGTAACGGTAGCATTATTAATAGTCGGAAAGGCATGGCCTCGTTTTGAACGGTCCGTAGCAATCATGGTAATGAGCTAACTCCAAACCCTAAACCCTAGTCTTCAGAAGATTGTTTCTGTCACTGCGGCTCCTGCGACTACTTTGGTAGTACTTTGGTCCTGCTGCTCCTGACACCCCCATTTACCCCCTCCTCTTTCTCCTCCCCGACCGCTGTTCCTTCTGGTGCTGCCAGTTACGCGATCCACAGTAGGTTGGTAAGTAGCAGTAGTCGTCGTCGATTTCATATGTTTTGGCAGAGAAGCTGCCACTTACCTTTGACGGTAGAAAGAAGCTGGAAGGCTGGAAGGCCAGGGACTTCGGACCCGACAGCTCAGCAAAGGTAGAGACCTGCACAAGGTAGGGGATAAACACAGAGCGAGAGAGAGAGAGAGAGAGAGAAGGGGGGGCTACCCTCTTGCCCATAGCCCTGCAGAAAGAAAGAGAGAGAGAGAGAGAGTGGCATACAGGCTACCCTCCTACACTTCTTTTGCTGAACAGCTGTGGTTGTAGCAACGGCAACAGCAACAACATCAGCACTATTGGACTACGAGAAGTAGCTGGAACAGGAATGTATATCAACACGTTGTCACTGATGATCATCATGAACACAGTAGTGTAATAGTAATTAAATAATGATGGAAGGGCAATGATACAGATGAAGAAGATGACTATCATGGGGATGACAAGCTTCGGCCCACTGACCATGGTGAAAGTGCTGGCAACGACTGCAGGCATTCAAAGCGATTGGAGCGTTCAGAACATCACCGGTCAGGTTGGCCAGCGAGGGTTGGACAGCCAAAGAGTCCTTGCCGGGAGCAGGGAGGGCAATGTCATGCAATACCTGAAGCCCAGAATCGTACGTCGTGTTTCACACTTTCAATCGCGTCAGTGCGCTTTCCAGTTTTTCCAGCTCGTGTCGGCTTTCTCCCATGTTGAGTAGCAATGAGGTTTTGCATCGAGGCTTGGAGGCATAAACGGGTTGCCGGCGCGGTGCAGAAAGTTCCACTGTAACATGTGCTGTCCCTGTCAGGTTCAGACAGCCTGGAATGCTCAGAACATCACCGGGCAGGTTGGGATCCGCACGAACATGCGTCCAAGGAGCGAGGTGCCATATTTGGCATTCACAAGGACGGCATTCTATTTTCAACTTTGAATGTCGTGGACAGGAAGCCGGACAGGTTGAGCGGAATCGCGGAAGGGCAGATTTCTGATGTAGTATGATGTAGTGCGGCTTATATCGACTTCTGCATGCAGTCTTAATCTCGCAGATTCTTTCCAGAGTCGTTTGCTGTGTTGCTTCTGCCAGGTTCCGGATGGTTGGAGCCTTGAGAGCATCAATGCAGAGGTTGGCCCGGCCAAGGTTTGATGGGCAAGGGGTTGTTGCAAGGACGATCATCGAAGGTGTATCCTACAAGGCCTGCGCATTGCAAAGCTTTGGTGTTGCAGGAACCCCCTGACCCTTGACTCTGTCAGCTTCCAGCAAGAAGTAGTGACTAGATCCACATTGAGCCTTGAGTTGCAGCCAAGCCTCCTGTTACTTGCACATTGAGCCAGCTTGATTCAACTTGATAGCACAAAGCCCATGCCAACTCCGCATCGTGCCATTCGTGCCGAGCTGAAAAGAAGTTGGCTCTTTGCAGGAGCCGGAAGCCTTTTCCGTCATTGAGAAGATCTTCGCGCCTTGTCACGATTTTTTGCCATGTATTCGTTTATGGACGTGACGTCAGCCCAGCAGTTCATATGCTCTCAAGGCTGTGATTTTCGCAAGCGAGCTCGCCCTTCGACTCTTTGGGAGAGGCTCCTGCTCCTGCTCGGTGGTGATTGCGTGTTGGTGTCATAGCAGGCATAGCATGCATCGCTGCAGGTTTCGTTGGATTCTACTGTGGGCCAGAGTGGAAGAGCCTCGTCTCAAGATTGGGGCAATCTTTAGCCGGCATGCCTTGTGAGTTCTACCAGACGCTCGTCAAGAAGTGGTCGTCGTTAGGCGGCTGTTTTCTTTTAGATGTTCGGATTGGCGCTAGGCCTTCTTGTGCAACTCTTTGCATCTTTTTTTGTCACCTCTGGAAAGAAGATTCCCAAACCAAAGAAATCTAAGGCAACAGCCTGTTTTAAACATGCGATTCCTGAACCGAAGAAATTTAGATTGCCGAGTCTAGACTCAAAACCTCCCTGAAATACCCTTTCCCAAAGCCCTCTGAGTTCTAGTACCTAGACCCAAAACCCTTGACCGTGATAGTACCCTGACAGTTAATCTCGTATAGCACCCTAAAGCCCTAAATCCTCATACCACCGCAAACCCTAAACCCTTACTCTGAACCTCAAATCCCTGACACTGTGCCTCGCAAGCGGAGGTGGGCCCTCTTCGACTCGACCATTGTCGGGTGCGTCTGGCTTGTTTTCGGGGACACCAGTGCAGCATAGTCGAGTACTAGTTGTTGAATATAGGGTTTCAGGATTGGTAGAGCAATAGTTTGCTAGAAGTGTAGCAACATGACGGTATGTCATAGCCATAGCCATAGTCATAGTCGTAGTCATTTTTTGGTACGAGACCAAGCAAGCTCTCCAAGGGGACATGTTGAGATTCTCGGCCCGCCGTTTCGAGGATGGTTGTGCACCTTTTCAGAAGACAAAACTCCCACTGATCATAGTGTTCAGTGGTTGTCGTGCAAGAGCCAGTATGGTGCCAACAAGTGCTAGCTGCCAGTGTCAGTGTCAGCTACAGCCATTACTGCATCATCTAGTGCTGTATTTCTGTTGCTGTGACTTGCTTCGGTCTTACAGAGCCGAGTGCCCGAGCGGCAGGCTTCAGATGATCGAAGAGGTCTCCACCTTGGCAGCCGCCCCCCCAGAATGCCGAACACACCGCTGCAATAAGTAGGAGGAGAGCTGCAGCAGTCGTAATGGTGGTCGCTCTGGTAAGCTGCAAATCCTCTCTGGGGGCAAGACGACCCAATGGGGGTCTTCGGGGCCCTTCGGGTACATGGTGACAAAATTCACTCGTTGGGTGCCTTTTCAGAAGATAATGCTTCGCATGTAGCTTTTTTATTGCCTAGCCGAAGAACGCAGCAAGAACAGAGACGGTGACCCCCGAGGTGGGCTCCCAAGCGGCTCAGGGCGGGAACTTGGGCTTCATGCGAGTGATGCGGATTCTCCGGTGCCTCGGACGGCCTTCGGGGGAGGATGTGGAGTTGTGGAGCACTTGCGGGGAAAACAGCTTGTGCAGCTTGTGGCTAGACGTTGGAGATCCTAGCTTCTTTTTCTGCGCATTTCTGCAGGGTTTTATGAACAACGTGCAGGGATCTGAGAGTGTGGTTTTCCCATTCAGTTTCGGAGGGTCTAGATGACATGCTATCTCGAGCTGAGATCCTCTGTGAAGGGTTGAGACCTTGACTGCTTCGATTCGAGATTTGGATGAGATGACTGACGCTTCGAGGTCTTGGAATTGTGCAGAGGGCTGACAGTTTGAGAGTAGCTTGTGGTCTAGGAGTGAAGGCTGGAGGCTAAGCGCCTCGGTCCTAGGTCCACTCTGCATTTCTGGTCCTTCCTCCTGATGCCAAAAATCTTGAAAGCTCCAAGCCCGATCCCAGCGATGCAGGTTGCTGAGAATTATGCGGCTAGTTCGTCTCCTGCAGTTTGTCAGCGAGCTTCGCACAATGGTGGGCTCCTGCATGTTTGACTTCGCGGAGTAGCCACCGAGCATGCCCACTGAGCATTGGGAGCAGGTCATGTCCATCGTGGGCTCCATGAAGTCGCTGGTGTGGACGATTTTACTTATGCTCCTCATAAAGTACATCATCGGAGCCCCTTGGCGTCCTTCAACCGCCCGGGGTCTGTGCTACAGGCACTGGATGCTTTCATGGAGGTGTTACAGGGTCAATGCTTTCCTTGGCGTGGGTTCTAGGTGGCATCATGCTCGCCCAGGTTTGTCTCTGCCAGCTGATTGCAGACCGGGGCCAAAGCCTGAGGAATGACGCTTCCTTCCGCGAGTCATGTTGCGTTCCAGTTTCGCCGAAGCATTCACAAGTACTACCAGAAGGGGTTGATCTAGCAGTCAGTCGTGTTCGCTTCGCCTCTGTAAAAAAACTTCAATCAAGCATCCTCCACTTCTGAAACAGGTTAATGGGTACTTGTACTATAGTGGGCTATAAGTCAGGTAGCCCAGTGATGTATACTCATCGGCAAACCTAAGGTGCTTGTTCCAAAACCCCTAGACACAAAACTCCTAAGCCTGTAATGCTAAACCCTGAACCCTAACACCTAAACCGTCGGTCTTGCGATACCAAGGCTTGGAAAATCCAGGTGCCATGACGCAGGACGAAACCCTAAACCCTAAATCTTAAACCCTAAATTCTAAACCCTAAACCTAGGCTTCGGATTTTTCAGCTTGAGGTAGTGGCTTAGAGCTCAGCAAACCATGCTTCAAGGTCAGTTTCGAGTTTGAAAGCTTACGGGTTGAGGTTTAGTGCTGAGCGATGTTTCTTGCGACGCAGGAGGGACGGCTTTTTGAACGGGGAAGTCACAAGGATTGCTGCGTAGAGCACCTGTCAAACTTTCGTGGAACATCCGGCTAGACACCCAAAACTTACGGTGAACTCCAGAAATTTGAAACATGAGTTAAGGATAATTAGTGCAAGGTGTCCCTATACTTTACCTCAAAGGCATCTAGGTGGAGCCGAAGCTTGGCACCGTACAAGCCCAAAACCCATGAGCCCTAGGCCCTGCGCAGGATCTGGTGGAGTTTTATGGGAGCCTGCCGCGAGCGGTGCTGTCCTTGTACCAGGCTCTGGGCGCCTCCTGGTGCACTTCCGGCTTTAGGAACGAAAATGGCGCCATACCAAGAAGTAGCAAAATTCTGCAAAGATGTGATACTTGACCATACCAGTATCAAAGTCGTTGGAGGGAACAGTCGCAGAACAAACTTTTCAGAACAATCGCGGTAATAGTTGAAGTGGCTACAGTAATGACCAGTAGCAACAGCAACCCGAAGTAAACATCCAGGAAGGTGAAAGCTGGCAATAGCAATGAGAATGCCGACAATAACTATACCAGGTGTCAACATACTCACACAGCGGTAATACCAGTAGTATTATCAACAGGGCTTAGCTTCGGCCGCCGCCATCGCCGCCGTCAAATCCGCCACCTCTGGCCCGCCACCAGCGCCAGCACCAGCACTGGCACTGGCGCCAGCAGCAACACCAGCACCAGCACCAGCACCAGCCTCAGCACTTCCACCTAGACGATCCGGGTCCAACCGTGGTCATGTCGCCGTAGTGATGCGAAGGACCGCTGCTGCGACGACACTTGCGATGATGATGGTTGTGATGTCGATGATAATTATGGCTATGCTCCTGCCTATGCTCGCCAGCACCAGCAGCATCCGCCTCCACTTAATTGAATATCCTTGATAGCCTCGTGTTCTTTCTTTTCTTATCAACATCAAGACAAAGCCGGAAGGCCATGACTGGTGGAGTGGATTGGAACGACCTTAGCAAGCCTCTGGAAGAAAGCACCTCGGATTGATCTTCTCATGTTTGGATTCAGGCATGGACGGTTTAGAGTTTTGTGGATGCACGTACAGGGGATTACGGTTCTTGAAACATAAATGAAGCAGTGGAGGCCAAATAGATATCTCTCTGCTTCAAATTCGACGGCAGCGGGCATGAAGCCCAATCTCAAAATGGCATGCCAAAACTAAAAGTGTTAGTCCATCCAAACTTAAGGTATCTCCCCTTTGATGACAGTTGCTTGGAGCTCAGCTGGGGTTATCACGCTGCAAAAGCAGGTTGCGGTTGGAGAGGCGTATTCGGTGTACAGTACTTCAGCAGTCTCGCGATCGGGGGTGTTGTTTTGGCTTTATGTCATGTTCGGGTGTGAAGCTGGAGTGTTTAGCTCTGTGAGTAGCGAGTTCAGAGAACCTCGCTTGCGAGAGTTCGATTTTCCGTCGCATTGCGAAGAAAGCGTGTTCCATGCATGGCGTGCCTGGGCGGCGCCTTTCATGTGTCGGAGGCTTCTGCACTAGCTCGGGATCTCGGCTATCTCACAGCGTGTTAGTTGGTGCTCCATCCCATGGAGATGCAATGACAAGCGTATCGATACTGTTCGTGATTGTGGTGAGGACGTGGTTCCAATTTCAGGATGATGATGCCCAGAAGGGATGACAGGATGGGAGGAAGATTTTGAGGATGTAGCGGGGGAGGAAGCAGGATGACGACGATCTTCATGATGATTGTCGTTACGACGGGTTTGCCAGTTGAAAGGTTCATAAACAGCTTATCATCAAGCCAAGGTCATTTGTACATCTGGCTCTCAGCCCCACCGGGAGTCCTGAGCCCCAAGCCGTGACCTCTAAACCCTGAAACCGAAAATTCCCCAGCCCTCAACTCTGAACCCTAAACCCTATGTCTCAAGCCCCTCTCCCTGGAGTGTGACCCAGGGCTTCGCCCTCTACGTCGCTTTTGCGGCCGGGGCCCGAGAGTGGCACCGCAACTACTTCCCCGGTTTAGGGTTTAGGGCTTAGGGGTTTAGGGTTTAGGGATTCAAGCAGACGGCCGGCTTTCATTCGAAGGAGCCCATGTCAGGATCCTTCGTGCTACCCCAACCCTAAACCCAAAAAAGCCCTAAACCCCTAAGCCCTCGAAGCCTTACATCTAGGACCCGCCCCTCAGGTTTTGGCCATGATGAACGTGGTTACAGGCGTTTTCGTCGAGTCGGCCCTCGGGTCGGCAAGAGAGGCCTGTGGCAGCTGTCGGCAGGAATGATATGCAAAGTAGTGACAATAAGAACCACCACAATGATGATACTGCTGCTACTACTACTGCTGCTGCTGCTGCTGCTACTACTACTACTACTACTACTATCAATAATGATAAGAGTTATGATAATGATAAGAATAAGAATAAGAATTATGAGAAGAGGAGCAAGAACAAGAATGTTAAGCAGACTAGCTACAAGACCAGTATATGGTCCGAAACAGCTTAAACAAGGAAGAGCCTTGAAGAGCCCGAAAATCCCGAGAACTCTCAGTCAGATGTCTGGAACGAGGGTTCCCGTAACAGATCAGGCGAAGAATCGTGGTAAGTTCCCAAACCCTAAACTCCTAAACCCCTAAACTCCTAAACCCTAAACCCTAAGAATAAACAGAAAGGAGACTTGGAAGATCCCCTGACAGGACCGGGAGAAGGAGGTCCACAACTCAGCAGATGATGAGCTCCAAGCGCAGGGTTTCAGGTTGAGAGATGTGGGCAGAGGGTTTAGGGTTCGAGGATTTTGGGGCTGAAGGTTTCGGGTTCGGGTAGGCTGCTTCAGGCTGTCTCAAGTGTTCTGCAGCTGTCGTAATATCACCGATGCCTCGCCGGCCAGGAGCACTGGTCTCCCAAAGACTCCAGAATGAAAAGCCCCAGCTCGAAACACTACGGTTTCGAACCGTAAGCCACTGCAAAACACCCTGAAGACGGAGAACCCAAAAACCCAAACTTGCCTGAAAAGAGACCGACCAACAGAAAACTACGCAACCCTAGAGACAAGAAGTCTAAAGCCACTTTACACGGGCCTTAAGCTGTGGTCCTTTGGAAAAGGTGATCAGCTCGGTGAAGAAGATCTTCCAGGTGGCTGATCACGACCAAAGCGGCCGCTGGTGATGGCAAGGAGGATTCGTTTTTGTCGGAAGGCGGGTTGCCTTTGCTTAGTTTGTCGTAGTGATGCTCAAGGTTGGTTCCACTTCTGTTTTTGCTGCTTACTGCTGGCCGTATTGAGACTGAGATGGGCAATGTGTGTGCCTGGGGCTTAGTGTTGCCTTTAGTCTGGTTTGCTTTTTTTATTTTGTCTCGTTCGCGCTATTATCTTACCATGGCCCTGTATTGTTACGAGTACCGGGAATCAACTCATTAATTGAGACTGTTTCCTGAACTCTTCCTACCAATACAGCATTGAATTTCCGAGGTGTCCTCACCTGGGGCGAGTTTTCCAAGACGCGGCGGCCCCGGTAAAGTGTTAACCTCTGGGCACACGAACTAGCGGCACAGGCCGAACAACAAGCACGCAGTCGTAGTCTAGACCCTAATTGCCCCAAGCTTTCAGCTCTAAACAACAGTACTGTCAAGGCGAGTAGTTTTCAAAAATGAATTAATGGTGAGATGGTTGGTAGTCGTCAATGGTGAGAAGCGATAACGATAACAGTCGCTATGGTAGCGATAGTTTCGACAGTACAGAGGTCGGAGTTACAGAAGCGGCAACGTAGCGACATCCACAACATGCCCGAAATGACAAGAGTAGTTAGTCGTGGCAATATAGTACTCCTACGTGACTGAACTAATGGGTTTGCATGAAGCATCACGAAGCAAAGATCCACTGACGATGAACTACAGGGGTCTAGAAGTCACAGGAGACAGTCCGCCACGGCCGGACGGTGTTGGCGCAACGCAGCGAAAGTGGTGTCGTCTGTTGGCGTGCGAGGCTAGAGTCTCTTAGACGTAGCAAAAATTGGTAAGTGTAAGAATAAGGACCATCAGTGGGAGACCTGTCAGTGGATTGGCCATGCTGTCTTCTCGACCACGCCCACTCTGTGTCAAGTTGTCTGCGATCGCAGAAGGCTGGAAGAGCCGTCAAATTTGAAGTACTTCGGCAGTCTTGGCATCAATGCGAGTGAGGCGGGGTTGATTTCTGCCACATGTAACAGGCAGACAGTGAGGCCCTGCAGCTTCAGCCGACCTTTGGTCCTGTATGGTTCTCTGCTTCCGCGAAGTCTCGCCGACCTTCCTGGAACCGCCGAGCAATCAAATCACTTCCCTCTTCGACCCGAAGCCAGAAATCCTGCACCCAAAACCTCTGAAACCCAAGCCCCAACACCGTTTAGGGTTTAGGGTTTAGGGTAACTACCCCCAAAGCAATTCCCAGGCTTAAACAATTCCTACACACTGAAGAGTCTGTAGACCTTCCAAAAGATCTTGAATTTGGGGGCCCGCCATAGAACCCCAAATAGTCGGCTCGGATCAACATTCCATGGACCCTTCAACCCTAAGCCCCAAGCCCTAAACTCACAAAACGCCGCTTTCATTAGTTTCAGCCCCTTTGAAAGCTCCGACAGGCGCGAGGTCTTTTCGGCCTCTTGGATGCCGATGAGTCAGGCAGTGTGAGCCTGCAGGACCCGAGGGAAGCTACCCGAATTTGGGGTGCGGCTTTCTGGTGTTCCAGGCTTTCTGTGTTTTGGAACGCGGGTGGGAGGGGTCTGATAGCACTCAGAGCTCGCAGGCAGGCTGTTGTGTTGACCCGGGCACTCCTACGACGACGACAGATGCGGGGATTTACGACCGGCGTGGGGACATCGTGCAGTACACAGACCAGTGCTGACGTGGCGGTGTGAACCAGAAGCAGCTTCAAGCGTCCAGTGATTTGCTCCAGGAGTTCATGCAAGGCTGCTTGCGCCTACGGGGACAGGCGAAGGCCATTGACATGGCCACCCTGATGCGACTCGGAATCGGAAGCGGTCGAAAAGCTGCAATGGCCCCATAGCCTGATGTCTAACAGGTCTGGGGCACTCTCGGAGGCATAGCATGTGGTGCTTTATACACTCAGCCGAGGTATCAGAACAAGCGAATCGTTGCTACCTCGGATGTGGCACTTTGTTTCTGGTTTTGGGTTGGGGGTGATGCGATTTTGCCCTCAGTGTAGCCTGAGTTCTTTTGCTGCCCGCTCACGACACCAGGTCTTCGTTGCTCACGGGAGACTCCACCGCTTGCTTTCCAGGTCTTCTGGCTCGCGGACAGGTTGGAACGCCTGGAGGGCAGTGCGGCGCCTACTTGCTGCGAAGTTTCGGGTGTCGTCCAACTGGTCGGACTCCAATCCCGAGCCGATCGGAAGCCCCGACCTTTAACCCCGCACCCTGAGCCCAAGCAAAAATGGCGATCGACCAGCTCAAGACGCGAAGAGGAGCAGAGTACTCAGCTCAGCTTTGCTTGGGAGGCTTGCGGCCCGCGGAAAACGATGGCAAGGCTTGGTGTCTGAGCGCTGGGAAGCCCTTAAACCCTGAAGCCCTAAACCCTTAAACCTTTAAGCCTTTAAACCCAGATACCCTAAACCTTGAAAGGTGTGTTCTCGCTTTGCTTCTTGTGCGAGGTGATGCCGTACAAGAAGAATGACTCAATGTCCAAGGCCTTTCTGTTCTTCGGGCGTAGAAGGATTTATCGAGATGTGTCCGTCTACCAACGGCTCCCCTCTTAGTACCACCTTGCCGTACTTCCCTTACAGTACCCCTCAAAGGAAGCATTACAGTAGCCCTGTTACTGTACCCCTTTTAGTACCAAAAGGGACTGTCTCTATAGCTGAACCCTAAACCCAAAACCCATCTACTCCTCCTGGTAAGGAATTCTAGCTGTAGCTGCAGTTGGAAAAGGACCCACAAAGCACAAACCATCTAAACCCTTAACCCCTAGAGTTCCCCCTTTGATACACCGAACCACCGAAGGCCGGAGGAAGCTCTATGTTGAACCCCATTCCCTACACACATCCTTAGCCCCTCCTACGTTGTCGTAGCATGTAGCAACATGTAGTAACATATAGTAAAGTATTACAGTATAGTAGCATGTAGTAACGAACAGTCACAAATAGTACTGTATAGTAACATATAATAACCTTCATAGTTTCCTTATCAGTACCACTTACAGTACCGCGTTGTCTTGGCCGGCCTTTCTGGAATTGAGGGTTTTGATGGGGAAACTTTATGTTGTGACATACTCTGAACGTACTACGGGGGATTTTGCCTGAATTTCAGGGCAGGATGCCTTGAGGTGAACCCAATGTAGGGAACCACACACATGGAGGAGAGACAAGCCCCAGGCCACACCCTGAAACCCCCCATACTCAACCCCAAATTTCAAACGCAAACTAAGCCCAACACCGAAAGCTCGTAACCCCAAGCCCGAAGCTCTGAATTCTGAACACCGGTAGCAGGTGGGTCCCGTGGTTAAGACCTGGATGGAGCTCACGAACGAGCACAAGTCAGGCCTTGCTGGAGCTGTGCAAATGGCAGTGAGCACAGTCAAGTCATAAGAGGTGGCAGTACTAGTAACTAGTAGTAGCAGCAGTAGTAGCAGTAAAGCAGTGGTAGCATTCGTCGTAGTCGTAGTTGCGGTCTAGTCGTAGTCGTAGTCCTAGTTGCGGCCGTAGTCGTGTGCTCGTAGTCGTAGTGCTCGCAGTGGTAGTAGTAGCAGCAGCAGCAGGAGCAGGAGCAGGCGTAGGAGTAGGAGCAGGAGGAGGAGTAGGGGTAGGGGTAGGGGTAGGGGCAAGGACAGGGTCAGAAGCCGAAGGACTGGGAGTAGGAGTTGGCGTAGGCGTGGGAGTATGAGTCAGTGCAGACCAAAACCTGCAGCCCCGAAGCCGTGACAGGAAGGAGAAGAGGCTCGAGCAAGTGAGCCTCGCCAGATGTCCGCTGCTAGCTGAGTTAGCTTAGGTTATTGAGAAAGCTTCAAGGTCTTGGGGGATGATCGCCAAAAGGTCTCGTCACCCATGTAGCTTCAGTGTGAGTGGCTGGGCGTGAGAAATTTATGAGTTTTCGTTGAATGTGCTAGGACAGGTTGCTAGGCAGGATAAGGAGATGTCACGGAGATGTTGCTTGCGTTCCTTCCCGGAAGTTTCTCACTAAAGGGGTGCGGAGAAAAGGGGGTTCCTACACTGGGGTTATAAGAGAGGCTTGCGGCTTCCTGAGAACAGAGGTTACTCTAAGTAACAATGGACCATGGGGGTTCGAGAATGCTCCCTGAGCTCAGACTGAAGATTGAGGCCTTTGTATGTCCGAAGTCGAGGGATGAGATTGGGAAGCACGAACAGTAGATGAACCTCGTGAGCCGTAAACCCGAACCCAAAACCCCTAAACCCCGAACCCTTTACCCTAGACTCCAAACCCGAAACCCTGAACCCAAGGCCTTTTTAATAGCGGCGACATGTGCACTGGCTTTTGCTGTCGCTCGCTGCAGACTTCCAGGCTAGTTGGTAGTGGAAATGATAAGGCTCGTAGCGCTTCATAAGGCTTTCAAGCGTGCTGTATAGTCTAAGTGTTTCACGAGGGTTGTGGGGTAGTTGCTGTGAGAGGCATCTTCACTTTGACAATCTTGCTGTTGAAGTTCTGGCTGTGGCCCGAAGCATTCGCTCTACCGACACCGCTGCCAGCGCAGCTGTCATTGAGGCCTGTGCACCCCCCACGCGCACCATTCATCCCAAGTCGACTTTTCTTATGACTCATGAGCGTACTTCTGTGCCTCCGTCTTCCAAGAAGACGGATGTCTCAGCTCCAAAGAGACGCCTGCCCGGACCCATCTGTCAAGCGACATGTCGGTATGCATAGAAATCGAAGCTGCGCAGTGGGTTCGGCAGTGTGGGCTTTCAGTTTTATTTACTCACAAATCAGCAGCACCCCTGAGCCACCTTGAACTAAGATCAAAGTCGTGGAGTTTCGTGTTGCTGTAGGGTGTGTTGCCCGCATGATTGGTGCCCAGAGACCACACTGGGTTGTCAAGATTTTTGTCATCCACTTATCCTGTCTGATGCTGAGAAGGCTGTTTTGCGCGAGAGGTCACCGAAACAGCTCACATATCGTATGAGAAGTCAAGCATCAGCTGCCAGCGCGAGCACCACGGGATTCTTGAAGAGAATCCTTCGAATGCGATTGCACTGCGAGGGAGGGATTTCAAGCAGCGCTGCAACAGCAAGTGCGCTGTGTCTGCATGAGCCCGGCTCCCCGACAACTTCCCACTCGCCTATTTGCTTTTTTTTGTCTGGAGTTCTGGACTCCTTGTCCAAGCCATGTGGAGCATCGAAGAATGAGATCAAAGCTCCTGAATCAAGCAACGGAGATACGCTCTCCGATCACTACGACGCCAAGTTTTCGGCGAGCCGCAGTGGCCAGCATAATCCATTCCAACCCGAAGCCTTGAACAGCTTGAATCAAAGAGTCCTGAACCCCTAAACTCTAAACGGCCAACCTCTGCCGGACCTACCGGCAGCGAGGTCCCAAGTATGGGTCTCTTTCTTATTAGAGGGCTCCCTTGCAGCTCGAAGGCTGTGGGGCTCTCGGAACCAAAAGTGCCGGACCTCGGACCTAAGGGCCGCCCCGCTGAAGAAGACAAAAGGCGACGGGGCCCCTTCTGTTTCTTGCAAGCCCTCCTTGGTGTGGCTTGTGTTTTTTGCCATCATAATGTCAACAAAAAGCTCCGGGGTTACCGTCTGTCATGCTTGGCATTGTGATGATCAGGTGCTTCTGCCAGGAGCCTGTATCTGCGTGGGGAGTTCGCGCGGGGAATGTTTTCTGCCTCTGCTCAAGCGGGGAGAAGCACAGAAGACATCAAAGAAGGACTGCGGACTCATTGGATTTTGTCGTGATCCGTGCATTGATAAATTGATCATTCTATCATACACTGCTATAATCATATTTACTACCACCATTGCCCGTCTCGACATCATCATCTGCACATCGTGATGGTGCATGTCAGCTGTAAAACTTTCATGATGACGTTTATGACTGGAGGGTTCGGGATCTCAACTGTGACGGTTCTCCTAGTCCTTGGGCAGATGCGCTGAATCGGCTGCTCTGATGGAGTGTGGATCTCAGTGTCATCCGCGTGCACGTTTGTTTCAGGGCTTTGGGTCAACAGCTTCTCCTTCCGAAAGCCGTGAAGCGAGGTCCTTCCTTCGCGCGGTGGGTCTTGCCCCATCCGAAGGGACTCCGCTATGTGAAATGCTCCTTGGCTTCGAGCTTTCTATACGTAACTCTTTATGTAGAATCCTGAATCCTGCGTTTCTCCTGCTGTTTTGTATCTATACATGAAAGCCTTGAACACCGTGCTGTGCATGCCTGTGGAAATTATCTTTCTAAGTGAAATGAGAAAGAGTTTTGCACTTTGGCAACTAGCATTGTCCTAGTCGTCCTAGTCGTCGGGGTCGTCCAGATCGAAACTGGCAGCAGCATCGGGAGGGGGCGCAAGACCAATAAGGGCATAGTGTTGGTGGTGTTGGGTGTCTGTGGTGGCACTGGCGGCGACGGTGGGGGTGGAGGTCGTCGTGGCAGTTGTCGTAGTCGGTCGTCATAGCAGGAGGAGGAGAGGAGTTGCCCCTTTGCTATGCTCAGGTGCTTCGGTCCTAGGGAAAGCACGACAGACCATCAGGTAGTAGACGGTAGAAGTCTTTGTAGTAGTTGTAGTAGTAGTAGT